TTTTAGAGATGACAAAAGTACAAGGAGATGTTGCCTCTGACTGCTGTGTCCCATTTTTTCAAGGTTTGCACTGTTATGTCAATCTTTGGGAGAACACTAGTTCATGTTAGTATTTTATGCCAATGTGAGATGATAGTTCAGTGTAGTTGCATTTGGGTTTTAGTACAGAGGGGGAAAAAAACAATGCAAAGGAGACCTTTTCCTCTGTGCCAGTCAGACAGCGTTTCACTCTACTCTCTGGGTGTACTTGTTCTCGCACATCACTATTTTTATAAGTAGTTCGGTTGCTGTAGGGACATTGTGTGAATTCATGCCAAATGTCTGGCCTATATTTTTTCCAAGGAGGCTGAGAGAGGAAAAGGAGGAGCAAGGCCTTAATATGGTGCTCTTGGCTCTGTTGCCATTAGCTACCATAAGCACCCTGCACCCCTCAACACACCTACGTACACACAAAAAAGATTCTACATGTAACAGCCTGGCCTGTCATCTGCTGGCCAGCTTCTGAACTGCGGCCCTGCCTTTCTGAATGGCAACTGCATTCACATTATCCCAACCAAACCATATCAAATCAATCTAGTAATTCATGCCAAGCTCATGCATTTACACTAAGTAAATAAAAATATTACACGATTATATGTTGTTGCTATTGTAACTTAAATGCTAAATTCAAACAGGCCTGTCAAAAAGGGAAAAGAAAACACCACCAAAAATATCACATCTTAAATGCATACTGGGTCTTTCTGAGCCAGAGCTCTGACTCACACTTCCATGCAACCTGCTGACCAGGAAAGATTGGTCGTAGTGGGTGGATGAATTAGTCTGTGTGGAGGTATTACACTGAAACCTGCTGGAGGTTTGAGTAGGCCAGGTTCATGCCTGGCAACCTTCATTTCATCATGTCAGACAGCTCTCCTCAGCTCGTGCATACCATCAGAGATCATCAGAAGGCTGTATTGTCATTGTACATATGTGTGCAACAAAAATTATCGATTGCTACTCAAGTGGTGTATTCACCATAAAAACACACAACACAGGACATACAAAGATAAAAAGAATAAAATGATGACATAAAAAGGTAGACTGTCATAACAGAATAAATAATAAATTCAAATATAAATGTGCATAGATAATTAAGATGACATAGTTTTAAAGTGCATCTTTGCAATGGTACAACAATAGTTTATTGTTTAATTAATATGGCTATGGCTGTGGGGAAAAAACTGTCTCTGAATCTGTTGGTGCATGTTTTGGCAGCTCTGTAACATATACTAGAAGGTAGCAATTCAAATTGGTGGTGTCCGGGGTGACTAGGGTCCTTAACAATGTTTTTAGCCCTGCTGAGATAGTGTGATATGGCAAAGTTTTCCAGTGATGGCAGTGGGTAGCCAGTGATCTTTTCTGCAGTTCTTATAAGTCTCTGCAGTGCTTTTTTGTCTGCAGCAGAGCAACCCACATACCACACAGTAATGCAGTATGAAAGGACACTCTCAACAGTCACCCAGTAGAATGCCACCAGCAGCTTCCTTTCTACACCATTCCTACTGAACACTCTGAGGAAGTGGAGTCTCTGTTGTTCTTTCTTGATGGTAGCTGTGGTGTTAGGTGACCAAGAGAAGTCCTCAAAGATGTGGACACCGAGGAATTTAAATGTGTGCACACTTTCCACACATTCCCTGCTGATGTAGAGAGGGTCTAGGTCTGCATTGTGTTTTCTCCTGAAGTCCAGTATTATCTCCTTTGTCTTTGTGGTGTTCAGTGCCAGGTTGTCAGCTGAACACCACCCAGACAGTCTCTGCACCTCGTCTCTGTAAACTGTCTCATCTTCCCCACAGATGAGCCCGACCACAGTTATGTCATCAGCAAATTTGGTGATGTTATTGGACAGGTGAGCTGGCTTGCAATCATAAGTGTACAGAGAGTAGAGGACTGGACTCAGCACACAACCCGGTGGGGTGCCGGTGCTGAGAGTGATGGAAAAGGATCAGGGGCCAGTTTTGACTCTCTGTGGATGATTTGTGAGGAAATCTTTGATCCATGAGCAAATAGGGAGGGAGAGGCTTAAGCCCAGCAGTTTATCAGTGAGAATGTCCAGAACGATTGTGTTAAAGGCTCAGCTTAGGTCAATGAAGAACATTCTCACACAGCTCTTTTGATGTTCCAAGTGTCTCAGTGCAGTGTGGACTGTAATGGCTATTGCATCCTCAGTAGGCTCTGTAGGCAAACTTGAAGTGGGTCGAAGAAAGGTGGGAGGCTAGCCTTGATGTGTTGTAAGATCAATTTCTCGAAGCACTTCATTATTACTGGTGTCAGTGCAACTGGTCTGTAGTTGTTCAGGTCCTCCAAGGCTGGCTTTTTAGGGACCAGGATGATGGTTGCTGACTTTAAGTGGGGTGGTACAACAGCTAGTGCCAAGGAGATGTTAAAGATCTGTGTGAAGACCCCAGCAAGCTGGTCCGCACAAGCCTGGAGTACTTTATTAAGTACTCCATCTGGAACTGCAGCCTTTCTCAGATTCACTGACCTCAAAGCACACCTCATATCATGTTCCTTCAGGTTAAGTACGTTGGTGTTTCCGTTGGGTGGAGGAGTTCAGACTGTTGTAGTTGTCAAACCAGGCAAAGAAGCGGTTTAGCTCCTCCAATGAAGCATCAGTTGGGGCAGTGCTGTTAGTACTGCCTTTGTAGTTTGTAATGTGCTGTAATCCTAGCCACACCTTCTGTGGGTCTTTGTGTGTCAGGTTGTCTTTGATATTTTCCTTGTAGGCCTCTGTTGCCTCCCTAATACATCTCTTCAGTTTAGATCTGGCATCACTATACAGTGCTCTGTCGCAGAACTGAAGGCTATGTTACGTTTATTTGAGAAGAATTTGGACCTCACGTGTCACTCAGACTTTCTGGTTGGAGATCCTTCTGATGCATTTATCTACTGTGACGGTGTTTGTACACCATTTAATATAGAACAACACAGTCTCTGTATACTCCTCCAAATCCCCAAGATTGAATAGGTCCCATTCAGTGTTGTTAAACAGAGCACAAGGGTTAAAACAGTCCAGTACCTGAGGTAGTACCCCCTTGGGCCAAGTTGTGATACTTTTGGTAGTTGGCTTCGTTGATCTTCTTAGAAGGGTGTATGCAGGAAACAGGAGCAGTGATAGATGGTCTGACTGTCCCAGGAGAGGAAGAGTAACAACCCTGTAGCCATGCTGGATGTTTGAGTAGGCATGATCCTGGGGTATTACAACCCCTTGTCACACAGTTCACATGCTGATAAAAAGTTGGGAGTACAGATTTTAACTGTGCTTGGTTGAAGTCCCCTGCTATATTGTGTACACCATTCGGGTGGGCGTTCTGCTGTTTATTTACAATGGCCAGTAAGTGGCCAAGGACAATGCTAACATTAGCATCGGGAGGGATGTAAACAGCAGTGACAGTGACAACACTTACTGTAGCTCTCGGGGTAAATAGAAAGGTCTACACAACACCAAGAGGGCTTTGAGATAAAGGCAGCAGTGTCCGGCCACAATACTTCTGTTTGTACACCAGTCATTGTGAATGTAATACAGAGCCCCCCTCCTTTGCTCTTACATGACTCACTGCTCCTGTCCTGCCAGTAGCTAGTGCGGGCTGTTAGCTGCACCGTGGCGTCAGGGATGAGTGGATGTAGCCAGCTTTCAGTTATAATCATCACACAACAGGTCTGGATGAAGCTGTTCAAAGCAATCTGTAGCTCCAATTCATCCATTTTGTTCAAGGTGGAGTTTGCATTTGTGAGGAAGATGCTTGGAAGTAGGGGTCTGTGTGGTAACTTCTTTAGCGTAGGCTGTACGCTGGCCTGGCATCCCCGCTTTTGCTTCCGTTCCCTTCTCTGTCTCTGTTCCTTGCTAGGCCAGCCAACAATCCACTGTGACTAGCACTGCCGGTCTAGCAATGTCCTCTGGGATGTTCTGAGCCCTTTGGTAGTCACTTGAAATGCCAATATCATAGCATGATCCAGTGTCAATTAACTCTTCTCAGCTTTACACATGCTCTGCTAGAAAAAGTCTAAGGATGCAGACAAAAGCACAGAGAACATTCACCAAACTAGAGAGCCAAGAGCCGCTGCACTCGTACGAGCCACCACAAATCAGTGGGCGGATTCATTGTTAGCTCTCCACTCATAATCAGAGTAGTAACTGAAGAGTATTAATGTGCTTGGAATATAATTAAGGGATAGTACATATAGAGTAGCAAGAGGTCAAATAATGGCAATAATTTAAGTGAAATATGTGAGAACCTAATGAGTGTATTACCATTAAAATTAGAAGAAAGGTTACATCTTAAGGATTAATCAAATCTCTTGTGCTAGCATTCTGGGGTTAGCATTTAGCACAAAGCACCACTGTACTTAAATAGCAGGTCTATGGATGTAGACTTTGTGTTCATGGCAGTTACAAGAAAATTGCAAATGTGTACTGTAAAAAAAGAAAAGGTTAAGAAAACTCACATTTTCAAGGCAACAAACCTGTAAATTTTTGAGTTAGACATTTGAACACTTTTTTTTTCAAGTTTAGGTTTTCAGGTCAATTTACACAAAGTTACAGTAACTCAAATATGTGCACTGTATCCATTCAAAACATTTGGTTTGTAGTTAAATATGGATTTCTTTTTTTAGTGGTTCACATCCAAGATACAAGGTCTTTAAATATGAACAATGCAAGCTGTGCCTGACATAAAGACCTTTCTTCATCATGATTTTCAGTGTTTTCATTCTGGGTCCTCTGAAACAAGTGTATAAAGACAAACTGAATGGCTTCCATCATGTATTATTTCTTATAACAAAAAATAAGGACAATCTGGATAATTTTAACCTTGATGAAATGCATGCTGGGAAGTATATGTAAATAAGCTAACAATGTGGCGTAATGATTTAATTAATAAATAAATTAAATTGATATTAACAATAACATAATCATCATCATCATCAATCACTTGACTAAACCATTTGTTTTACTTTTAGTCAACTAAACTCATGATTTTAAGTTACACCAAGTAAATAAGTTTCCTGTATTCGTCAACTAAAGAAGAAAAATAAGTTGCAGTTTTCACAGTGTAGAGTCTGTTATAATGCCAGGTTGCTTCATTTTTTTTATTATAATTTTTCCTCAGATGTTCTTGGAATTTAATGATATATTGACAGATATCAATGGTGTGGCCTGCCCTGAAATAAAGAGGGAACCGCACAACAGTGGATCGTTTATGTATTTTTGTGTGGATGCTGACAAGCATCCACACTATGTTTTCCTGTTCTTTATTTATTATTATTCTGGGATCTTCCATTCGTTTTCTGGTACTTTATAACTCCAGCATGCTTTCAGCTATAAAGGCCATTCAGGTATTCAACTGTTTATACTTTTTAAGATATTCAGCTTTTTTTTTTAAATAATATAAGTCAATGGGAGCTCAAAGTGCTGAGTCATCCTAATGCTGCAGCTCAATGACACACTCCTGGAGTGCCATTTGGTGATCAATAAAATGCAGTGCAATTGAGACATATCTTTGTCTTCTGTCCATTTTTTGGCAACTAACTCCTCCCGCATTCTTTCACCTAAAACAGGGGTCGGCAACCTGTGGCTCCGGAGCTGCATGCGGCTCTTCAGCTTCCTTGTTGTGGCTCCCTTTGGCCTTGACAAAAGAAAAAAAAAGAATAATGGTTATTTATTAATAAAATTTTTATTTATAGGTTTTTTTGATGCACATTTATCTTGGAGTTCAAGGTGATACTTTAACATCAAATTTTAAAAAAGTTTTTATAATTTGTCAATTAAAATCTGCGTCACATCCACGTCTATAACCCTCGCCTTTACCTGCAGACGGCTTCTTGAGTGTGCAACCCCCGCGGTAAGCTAACCATGAATACATCCCAAAAAAGAAAAATCGCAGAAGAAAATAGAGTTTAATTCTGCATGGACAGATTCCTTTGCCTTCACTGCCAATGACGCTGGCTTACCTGTGTGCAGGATATGTGGCGAGAAATTAGCAAACAAAAAAAAAAGTAATGTTGAAAGACATTTTCAAAACAAGCACTCAGCATTTTCTGAAAAGTACCCAACTGAAGATGGGCGAAAGAGAGCGATTTCTGAACTAAAGAAAGTTGAGCAGAGCAAACATACTTTCATGAAGTGGATCAACTCTCCAAACTCAACTACAACTGCTAGTTTTGTGGCAGCTTATGAGATCGTAAGGATGGGGAAGCCCTTCACAGATGAGAATACATGAAAGAATCTTTCACAAAAATATCAGCGCATCTATTCTCCAAATTCAAAAACAAACAGGAAATTATTCAGAAAATTAAAGAAATGCCTCTCTCTGCGAAGACCGTCAAAGACAGGACCATTAGAATGGCAACAAACATCACCAGTAAGCAAAGTGATGACATCATTTCAGCTCAAACATATTCAATTGCCTGTGATGAGTCAAGTGATGCAAACGATATGGAGCAGACAGCACTGTTATGCAGATATGTGAACTTAGATGGGCCGCAAGAAGAACTGATTGAACTCATACCGCTAAAGGGCCAAACACGGGGACAGGACATCTGTGAGGCTGTTTTGAGTTGTCTAAAAGCCAAAGGAATAAACACCACTCACCTGGTGTCAGTGTCTACTGATGGTGCACCCAGTATGAGAGGAGCACAGAACGGCTTTGTGAATTTACATCAAAAGTCACTGGATCAAGAGCTGATGACGTTTCACTGCATATTGCACCAAGAAGCACCGTGTGCTCAAACATTCCCCCCTGAATGTGTGGAGGTGATGAACCTCATTATTAAGATAGTGAACAAAATAATTGCAAACGGGTTAAACCACCGACAGTTTTGTTCATTGTTAGATGAAGTTGAGAGCGCATATTCGGATATCCTGCTGCACAACAGAGTTCGGGGGCTGTCAAGGGGAGACATGCTGAAACGCTTTGCTGCTTGTCTGGAACATGTGAAGGCCTCAGCTATCCCGAACTATGAGACCTCGACTGGCTGAAAAAGTTTTATTTCATGGTGAATATGGCAAGTCACTTAAACATGCTGAATAAAAATCTCCAGGGAAAGGGAAGCACGGCCCTGCATTTGCTGGAGAATGTTCTGGCGTTTGAGCGCAAGATGACAGTGTTTGCCAGAGATGCACAGAGAGGTACGCTCTCTCACTTCCCCTCCCTGAGAGAGTTCAAAGAAGAGAACAATCACATAAATTTTGATTATTTACACCGTGCAATTATGGCAATGCAAGCTGCATTTGGAGATTCAGTTCAATTTCAAGAGTTCAGAAAGAAAAAAAAAACACTCTGTCCTTCCCTGTCACACTGCTGGACCCGTCAACCCATCCCTGTTGATCATATTTGTATTCACAGATGGAAATTGAACTGGCCGACATAGCAAATAAAGACTTATGGGTATCCAAGTTCAAAAGCCTGACAGCAGATCTCGAAGAAGTCACCCGTCAGAAGGCCACTCTCGCTAAAGAGCACAAATGGAATGATATTGAAAACCTCCCCAAACCCGACAAACTTGTTTTTGAAACATGGAGTGCCATTCCTGACACGTATATGAACATGAAAAGGTATGCATTTGGAGTCCTGTCCATCTTTGGCTCAACATACTTATGTGAGCAAGTTTTCTCGAGCATGAACTTCATAAAGTCCAAATATCGGTCCCACAAATGAGAGTCTACAGTCCTGTGTGAAGATCAAAGTCACATCTTCCAGCCCCGACATAGGGAAGATCAGCATCGAGCTTCAGAAACAGAAGGCACATTAAACAGGTGACAACACTAGCATTATTTTTCAGAAAAAACATTTATTTCAAACCCAAAGCTGATGTAGTTTTTTATTGTATGTTCAGGTGCTTCAGTTGATGGCTGTCCGAGAAAGAAACTCAAAGAGGATGAGAGCACACTGAAATGGACTTGTCAAAAAATGTTCCTAATTTTGTGTTTACCTTTTAAAACTGCTAAGCTGCAACTGTATAGTGGGCTACGCTTTATTTTACACAAATACGGGAAGGACTCAAAAAGGACTGCATAGTTCAGTGTTTCATTTATTTCAAAGTAGGCCTACCCATGCACATTGCACTTCTGTTTATTGTATTTAGTTGTTGTAACAGGTAAAATTAAAAAAAAGATTAAAATTTTAAAATGTTTATAAGCTGTGTTATGTTTTGCAGCTCCAGACTATTTTTCTTTAGGGGGCAAAATGGCTCTTTTGAGAGTAAAGGTTGCCAACCTCTGCTGACCTAGAAAT